GCGGCACATTCGTCGACATCTGAAAAAGCCCTTGTATAAATCAGGAAGTGGCTAGAACAGCAAAAAAGAAAAAATAATGACCATGGCAAGGATCTATGGGTGGTGCTCCTTCGAATCCTGGATAGCATCGGCAAGCTCCAGTACGTCGCTCGCAGTAGGCATCACTACCACACTGGTCTCCGCTAGTGCATTTGGTAGTATTGCTAAAGTTAGAGAATTACATCTTCGGAAAATTAGCTACGTTGCTCAAAAGGCAAGATTTCTTGAAAGAAGTAAATCATACTGGGTTGAGAATTTTGATCTACAGGAGGTTCTACGAAAATGCAGTTGAAATCCCCCCCCCTCCCATAGCCACGAGGGAAGCGAAGAGAATGAATGAATGAACAGGAATAATGAACAGGGTGGGAGGGAGTGGTTGAACGAACGCAATAATGATTGGATGAATCGATTAGTAAGTATTTATAAATCGATAAGTGAAGGGCTGAATGATTAAATTCAGTAAAACATTTCTATATGGCCTTACCTGGGACCCAACTGGATCGCAGTTGTTGTGCTAGGAGTTGTCAGAATAAATGTATCCTTGGTGGTTGGGACCTGAAATAGGTGGCTGAAAAGCAGTTCAAAATTTCTCACAATTCAAAAAATGTCAGAAAGATAATCGTATATTTTTTATATTTGCAGTAATTGCAATATTTGCGAGTAGGTGTCGGTATCTTGAATGGAAACTATGATATTTGCTTGGGTTTGCTTTTGGCTTGACCTTAGATAATGAAAAGTGCGCAATCAGTATTATGTGCACATTATTGGATGGAAGGTATTTCATAGGTCGGCGTGAATTTTATAAAATTTGTGAGGTGAGGAAAGTGCAGAAGAACTGCTTCTTGTTTTGATTTATGTAAAAGCGAAAGAAAAATCAGGTTAGATAAGGCAAATGTATTGTGCGGTGCTTTGCCTACCTCTGACGTCTGTTCTTCGGATGACTCCTCGGTCTCCTCCGTCACGTTGGCACGATTCTGTTCAGGTGTTGATGACAGGAATACATCGGTAATTACATCGTTTGTTGTAAGATCAGTAGGTGGCGTTGTCGACGACTCCGTTGTTGTCTGATCAGATCGAGTTGTCGAAAGTTTTTCCGCACCTTCATGACGCTCTACTCCTTCTGGGAGATCAGGAATGACTGAGGCAGAATCTGTGGGAGGTGTGGTGCTTGGTGTCACTTTTTGGAAGTTGGGTATCGGTGGTTTCTCAGCGCCTTCATGACGTTCTA